TGTTTAAATCGACCAGAGCCAATTCGAGTAGCCAGTCGAATCAAGTGGACGGCGTACACCCACGATCTCGATATTTTGCTCATTGCAACTCTCGAAAGGAGCGATTTTTCGTCCAATGTCAAATCAAGGTAAAAACCGCCAGCCACAATATCCTGGAACTGCGAACAGAAGTACTCTCAATGGAGATTGGAAGGCCATTTAATATATCCAGCCGTCACAGGGATAGTTTAATTCGCGATTGAGGTCGAGGAGACATTCGCCCGCGTGAATAAAAGCATGCCATTTCTTTCTTCAAAAGGCCCAGCATCTAACTGGCTCCTCCGAATCTACCGACCAGTTTAACTGCGCTGTGCAAATCTGAGGCGGCCCATGTCCGTGAATGTGCTACAGGATGATTCTTATTATCTGCCGTAGAGGGAGTTCATTAGTCAGAATCCTGGGGCAATTTTGGCGAACCTGCTCAGGGTTGGAAACTGCACCTATAGGGTTGGTTTTCCGCCTCGCCCTTTTTGGTAATTATCGGTTTTCAAAGCCCAATGGTATTACCTTTTTGATTGGTGAGATGCGCGCCGACGGCTCAGTGGGTTGAGCACAAGCTGCAAAATTGTGCATATTTGCAGTTTTATTTTGCCTTTTTGTTAGTGTATTCTCATGCACAGACCCGTCACTCACCTATAAACTGCTAGAAGACCGCGGTAAATTGCGTGCCAAATAGCACATAAAAATTAAACCAGGTCGGCAGTCTCAGTAGAATTGACGACAGAATTTTTCAAAGCAAACGAGCGCATTGTATTAAAGTTCCAACAGTTGGTATTCCCAAGGACTACGATAGTAATGTTATGAAAGCCAGACAGGCTGAATGACGCCTTTATTATTCTCAACCTGAGCATTACGCGATAAGTATAGTGCACGTCTGTCCACAAGCAATGGGTGCATAGTGGAGCTTCCAAAAAACACAAATATTCGTGAGACAGACCCATACGTAGCCAGCCGCCGACCGCGAGGAACGAGACAAAAGGTGGAATTCTTCAACAATTCCACGAATGAGACCCTGGACCGAAAGGAAAAAAAGCAGAAATACTAAATAATGGCTTCGGGGAATTGATAATTGAGAACGCTGTCTAGTACCTCATTTCACTTCTGCATTCTTCAACCCTCTATGTTTGTGCTGACAAAGTTTCCCTTTTTTGGTGCCATAGGCGGAGAATTGTTTACATAAGAGGTAGGACATGGAAATAGAACGCTCTCCGGAATACCGGTGGCTTTGCGATAAATTCCAGGGAGAATGGGGTTATGGCTAAGTTTGGGCTAGGGTTAATGTTAGGACACAGGAATGGGTACTCTTCTTGGAATTTAGACCAAAACAACCTGCATTAGGGGGGGAGGGGTTCTGTTCTCTTTGCTTGCGATTTATGAAACAGCTGACACTGAAGATGAGGGATCTAGATTAAATTTAGAGAACAACAGGCGGTCCATCACAACAAGCAGTAGGCGAAAGAATTGGCAGACAAACTGTATAAGACGGTTTCCAATATCCTAGAATCTAAACAGTTTTCCAAAGAGTAATCTTCGAGATCAGAAAGGCACTTTGTGCAATTCGGTTGACCGCATACAGAGACCGGAGTAGTCACCTCCAGACCTGCGGCATTGGCCATTGATTGGTCAAACCTGTTATATTTCTGCTAACACCAGCACGCTGCACCGCTGTCTTGGATGCGGGAAATTATTAGGTTTCTGCCGACTGGCAACACATACACAGTCAATGAAGCCGGAGCGGCAAAGTCAACCAAAACGCAAGTTATTTTCCTTATGGAGATGTTCAGTTTTCGTTAACCTATTGGCAGTCACCCACCACGCTGTAAATTATGACTGGGCCACAACCACGTATTAGAACGGCATCACTGACGATGACCTTATGCTGAACCCGACAAAAACACTAATGAAGTGTGCAACAGTTAATCACAAGCAGGACGTGATCAACATCTGTCAAATGCACGAGTGTCCAGTGGTGGACGCGTGGTGGTCGTATTAGGTCGGTCACTTGATTGCAGGTATTGACTACGCGTAGCGTACATTATCCAATAGACAACTCCCTCCATTAACTCCACGAAGCTAGGTCCCGTGCTGCGCCCACGCGCCTGGAACCGCCTCCACCGGCTGGCTAAGGGGGGTGAGGGTATCAGTCTATATTCCCCACGCGCGGTAAGACTTCTCCCCTACCCAACTCCACTCTGCCCTTCTATTCAGTCCTTCCTCTCCACACCTCCCTCCTCCGCCCTCCACGCACTCCCCACTCCAATTCCCCTCTGCCCTTCTCATCCCCAATCCTCTTGCGACCTTCAGGTCCCCACAATCCTCCAACCCATTCACTCCCCCCTAGGCTCACACTCCGAACTTGCAGGTCGCTGGTAAGTCCACTGTCTATAATAATCTTAAAACCCACGGTCGAAAGTCCTGCTGAGAGGGTGGCACGCAAACGGCGCAGGTCAACAAAACAAAGTCGTGACCCATGGTGGATTTCGGCGAGGAGAAAGGGACTACAAAAGGTGCTTTAAACAAATGCTGGGTACGACATCAGCGCGCAGTACGTGGCTCGCAGACTGCAATGCATGTGGTCAAACAATCAAACGGAAAGCAAAAATCTCTCCGATCCCCTTTATCCTCCCCTCTGTCAATCCGAAATGACTCCTCGGGGTGACTTTAAGGACACTTATCTGACGTCCAAGCCTGATAAAATCTGACCTGTCGCTGTGGACCAGCACGTTTAGGACACATGAAAATGTGGGTTCCGGCAAATTGGCGAATCTTCATTTGTCGTGACTTTTTATGGCCAATGTCACGCTGGATGTGGGAAGAGAGAGTGAGGTAGATACTGCTAGCTTTGGGAGCCATCGACGTTTGCGGCAAACGTACTACTGTGTGCGCGGTGTGTAAGGGTGTCCATTTGTGGTCCCATGTGACGAAAGTATTAGTTCGCTCACATGCTTTCAGGTGTAGATTACACCTAGCATCAATTTACTGGCGCCCATCTCTCACCTGTGGTTCCCCCAAGCGAGGTCTTGCCTAGCGACCACACCCCGGTAATTACCACGACCGGCGGGCTAAACCATGTGAGGATATCCGTGCGTGCATCACTGCACACGGTAACTCGGCCACGCTGGCCGGATGGATCACCGCCTCGGTATCTCCGAGACGAGACTCCATGTGCAACACCGCTGGAGGCCACAAGGTAAAAGGGCCCCCAGATAAGCAAATATTGCTCGGCCGTCATTACTTTCTTTGTCCTTGTTTGCTTGATTTCAGTCTACATGTTTGTGTTCCTCCCTGGTCTAGCCGAAGTGTTGTTCCTTTGAATTTCCTCTGTCTGCCTTTGCTTTTGCTTCTTCTTGCTCGCCTGCTCTTCGTCTGCATGTTTCTATTTATACTTGGTGTACGCTAATTGCCGTTCCTTTGAATCTGTTTGATTACCGCTTATATATTTCAGCAGCCAGTTCGATTAGAGAGAGACGGTAAAGCTCTGCTTTCCGGCTCTCTACGCTTCCCAAATGTCCTCTCCCCTTCCCGCGAGCCCTCCGGCAATGTCGTAGGCAGGCCCAGGCTAACTCGGGTCGTTCTCCCAATGAACAACAGCCGTGGCCCAATAGTGGAGTTCGGCAGCCGTCAAGGACAACTGCGCAGCCCTATTTTGGGAGAAGAATGCTCACTCCCACGGGCGGGAGGGAGTAGAAAGGGTGCCCTAAAGAAATGCTGGGGACCCACGCCGTCTGCAGCTGACCTTGGCCTCAGACGCAAAACTCGCGGTCTTAACAATCAGATCCGAAACAATAATCTCTCTATTCCCCCCTACCCAGCGGCCCACTCTCCTGACTGCTAGGCTGAGTCCTCTCCTACTGGCGAACTAGAATTTCCGTTCACCTTTAGATTATCCCAGGAGCAACCACCCGGAACGGAGGACGGAGCTAGTGGCTCGGGAACTGGCGCGCTACCAGGTGGGCATCAATGCACTCAGTGAGACCCGACTCTCCGATCAAAGCCAACTGTAGGATGTGGGTGCCAGCTACGCCTTCTGGAGCAGCCGCCCCAAAGCAGAGCGACAGGACGCAGGCGTCGCCTTTGCTATCCGGAACGACATCGTGAGACGACTGCCCTGTCTGCCGCAGGGCACCAACGACCAGCTGATGAGCCTCCGCCTGACTCTCCGAGGAGGAATATTTGTCACCAACATCAGTGTCTACGCTCCCAAAATGACAGGTCAGACGAGACAAAAACAAAGTTCTTCGAAGAACTGCATGTTCTCCTGGCGACTGTGCCGAAGGCGAACAGGCTGGTTGCCCTTGGTGACTACAGTACCCCTCTCGGGCAGACAGCGCCATCAACAGTCGATCAAGGAGGAGCCACTGGATGGTCCGAAGCCCTCAGAACTTCTCCGTCGAATGCGTGCTCGCCTAGGAGACATGCAGATTGCCGAGAAACTCGTCAAAGAGATGTTTCAAGAGAGTCTACCTGAAAATGTCCAAACGATTTTGCAGTTCGATTGTCAAGATCTCACTGTTCATAAGGTGGACAAAATGGCCGACGGGGTTATAGAGGTGCAGCGTTTCCAGCCACCTTCCGCTGCCCACATCTCCACATCTTCGTTGACAATGAATGAACAGTTAAGTAAGCAGATATTGGCATTGGCAAATGAGAAGGCCTCCATGAAACTGCAGCTTGAACACCCTAATTCCAGTCGCTCAACCAGCCGTGATTGTTGTCGCCCACGACCTCGGACCGTTGATATTTGTTGGTATCATATCAATTTCGGTGCAAAGGCCCGTCGGTTTGTCTCCCCCCGCTCTTTTAAGATGAAACAGGGAAATCGGTCAGCTAAAGAATAGATGCGAACGTTTTCTCTGGCTCTTCCGGCTCTGGCCACACCTTCTATATCTGCGACAGCTTTGGGTAGGACAATTGTGTGTAGCCTGGACTGTGCAAGGCGAAGGAGGGGTTCCTGTCTTACGGGATCGGTGGGAAGGGGGGGGTTTTAGGGTGGGGTAAACGGGGAACCCATCAATTAGTTAGAAAAAAGTAAAAAAAGAGGTTTAGAAAGAAAGTAATAAAGTTTGTTTGAGGTGAAAATGTGCCGAAAATTCAAAACCGAAGCCGTAACCAATGGGAGCAATATACCCAAGGCCAAGGCCATTCGGCTGAAGGTGCCCCATACAATACTGCCACTGAGGATGAATCCTGGTCAAATGCCAACGACAAGTAGGGCGGTGGAAAATGAACCCGAAGAACGGTAAGTATGAATGCAAAATACGGAGGACGGAAGCCGTATTTATTAATTTGTTCAATAATTACCAAACGTTTCCCACTTATAGAAGGCTAACAGCAAAGAAGAAACGTAAGGCCGCTCCGCAAGCTGATAATGCCATCGGAGATTGAACAGATCCTGGATATTATCCAGTCCCCATATTTAGCGCAATAGTTACAAGCTAAACGAGTTATGGCGACAGAAACCAGATGTCGCTGTCGTAAACCGATGCCGTTGCGAATATTGCGTCAGCCCACAGACGGGTTTGCCTTCAGGCACACGAAAATATTAATATAATGCATTGCCTAGGTGTAGCAAATGGGGTACCAAAGGGGCACTGAGAACTGGTTCGGTGTTTAAGGATAGTCGCCTGACTTTATCGAAGGTCCCATGTGGCTGAGGCCTATCCAGTCTCAGAAGAGCACTCGGAAACCGAGATTTGTAGCAGCTGACCGGAAAGGTAAGCAGTGAGATGTTAATGATGTTGTACACATAGTGCAATAATAGCAGCCTGTGGAATAACAGCCGGGGAGAACAACTGAACGGCCAGGCAATGGACATTTTGGCCACTGAAAACTGGTACAACGGAAACAGTTTGTAATTCTTTCATATTCCGCATTGAAATAGTAAATTCCTTACTATACCTCTCAACCTTTTTTGCCCCTTTCTCCCACAACCCCAGCCGAAAATGCGCCAACGAGGATTGAAATCGTAGTATTTGAAGGGATTGATAGAAAACCTATGAACACCCTAACTTCCGATCATGACCAATCCGAAGGCTACTTCGTAAGCACGCTGATCGTCAAACCGATGAATGATGTACGTATAACAGGAAAGCCAAACCTACTGGTCACCGCAAGGCGACCAAACCGCCCAACCACACGGGCGTACGAAATCGACCGAAGCGCAAGGGGAAAGCGAGCGAAAGAGACCACAAAGAAACCCCGAGGGTCGGGTGGATACCTAAGCCCGTGAAAGTGCAAGGAAAGGCCAAACCCCTATGGTTGGGTAACTGTTCCAAGCGGGCTGCGGTTGGGTGTGGGGAGGGGAAGTGAGCCGTACGGCAGGCAAGGAAAACAAACGGCAAGCGGCCTTAGGAGACCGCACAGGAAGCCAGCAACCGGGTTAAACGCCTGTACGGCTAAGCCATGAAGGGCTTGTGCAGCCCCTGAAGTATGTAGAAAGGGCAGGTGCACTAGCGGGGCAGACCTGCACCGATGAAGTGCACCCAACGCCTACGCGCCTAGCCAACTCACGCGGTAACCGCATGGAACGCGGTATGGGAGGCCCCCTCCCGCCATCGAATACAACGGGGCTGTTTCTTAAAAAGGGGGGAGGGTGTAGGGTAGCGATCTGTTAACACGACTGAAGCAGCAAGCAATTAGAAGGATAATGGAAAGCGTGTTGAATCGCAATTCGCATAGGTTAAGTCTTTCGCCTTTTACTAAAGGTTTCCGTGTGGGGGGTGCAATGCAATGAGCCCATATAGACAGTCTTGCAGCGCCTCGTTCTCGGGGCGGTCAAAGTGAAGGAGAAATTCATCCTGACAGAGCCTCTACGCCATATCATGCAAACGTAGCTGGAGTACCCAGTCGTAGTAATGTAGCAAGCGCGCTAAGTGGCCGATGAGCGGGAATGTGAACGTGAGCAATAACATGAAGGAATTTACAGCATAACCGCCCTTCCTTCGTCCAATTGGCAGCTGTAAGTATATGCGAGAGGTATGGCAGTGGAACCACAGCAGAAGACAAGGTATCCCAAAGCGAGGTCGAATACATTACATCCGCGCGGCCGACACGCCTGAAATATGTAACTTAATAAAAGCACTCCTACTGATAAGAAGCAAGTACGTCAACAATGTTGACTCATAATCCCAGGCTACTCAGAATTGTCTCGCCCAGTTTTGCTTACAGGCGTTTATTTGTAGAAACCGGAGCCCAAATTAGTGTTTTCTCACCAGCTTCAAACTACCGTTGTTTTACCAGCCTTGGTCTACGCCTCCGTGCTGTCCTCAACTGTTCTCCCATTCCCAATGTTGACAGTCTGCCCCACAACCTAAACACTGGCCTTCGTCGGTCCGTCTACTGTGTTTTTGTGATTACGGATGTTCATTATGCAATCTTCGGCTCGGACTTTCTAGCCGAGTTCAATCACCTTATTGACTGACGACGTGCCATACTCCTAGACCGTACGACTGATCTCTCTGTGCATGGTTGAACTCCCTTCACTACCTACTACGATTTGTCTGTCTTGGACACAGCTATTGCCAGCCCATTTCGGAACTGCTCATTGCACCACACAAAATGATGAACCCACAGTTTCGCAGTGGCGAGGTTCAACATGACATTCTTCATCAAATCTGCATCTCAGGTCCTCCTGTGTTCGCTCGGCCTAGACGACTAGAATCGGCCCGTTTTGAGGCCACGAAGGCGGAGTTTGAACACAAGCAGCAACTGGGAGTCAGTCGACCATGCAAGAGCCCCTGGGCGTCCCTCCTGAATATGATGTCCAAAGTGACATCAGGCGACTGGAGACCCTGCGGCAACTATCGTGCCCTCAACAACGCCACTATTCCCGATCAGATGACATTACTTTATCTTCAGGACTTTGTTAGACTTCCTTTCGGCAGAGCGGTTTTGTCGGAGATTGACTTTGTGAGTGCCTTTCATCAGATCCCTTTCGCTCCTGAGGATATCCCTAAAACCACCGTCACTACATCATTTGGCTCTGGGAATCCATTCGCATGCCCCTCGGTCTTTGCCATGCCACGCAAACACTCCAGGTGTTTACTGACCATGTCTTACGTGGCCTACCGTTTGCGTAGGCCTACCACGATGACCCCTTGGTGGCCTGTCAGAATGCCGAAGAATACAAAGAGCAACTTGCCTTGGTGTTGGACCGTCTCGGCAAGTATGGCGTCGTCATCCTCCCTTTAAAGTGTATTCTGGTGTGCTTCCCTTGGATTTCTTGACCAGCATGTTGACTCAGAAAGTTTGTGTCCCCTCCCACGGTGGTTTAAACCATTCGTGATTTTCCTCCACCAACCTAGAAGCGTCACCTGTAACGTTTTCTTGGCGTGGTCAACTTTTACTGCTGGTTCCTTCCGAACTGTGCCTACCTTATGCTGCCACTCATCGAACTGCTTGCCGGTCCGAAGGTTTCCCCGAGCTTACTGGTGACGCATTGTCTATTTTCGAGAGAATCAAGCCCTCCCTCGCTGACGCTACCTCGCTCACACATCCTGCTCTCGCAGCTCTGCTGTCTCTCATGGTTGACGTTTCCATCGTTGCTGTTGGGGCAGTCATCCAGCAACACCTGACCGATTTCACATGATCGTTGGCTTTCTCCTCTAAGAGGCCATCGCCCACTAAGGCCGGGTGTAGTACCTTTGGCCGCGAACTTCTTACAATTTGTCTGGCTGTGAAACGTTTCCGGCACTTCCTTGAAGGCCGTGACTTCGCTATTTTCCCGGAACATAAAGCATTTACATTTGCCAAGACGGTCACCCCAAACTCTCATTGTGTCGACGAGACCGGTGACATTCTTGTGCACCGTCAGAGGCAATTTATGCGTTCGTTTTCCCCGATTCCGTCCCGAACTCCGAAGACCGAGTCTGATGTCGAAAAAGGTTTGGTCAATTGCACTCATGCGTTCTCCTGGTAGCTGCTGGAATCACCGAAAGAAGGACCGTTCTGTGGACTCGCACGCAACACCAAGACCTGCCGGATACTTCGCGGTAACAAGGAGGACGTGGTCAGCGTCTGCCGGATCACGGGTGCTGTTGCGAAGGAGCCGCCGGAGCTGCCACGAGGACAAAAATGTGATGACTCCCTTGCTCTTGTTCCTCCACCTCCACCACCCCCTGTTCCCCCGCCTTTCCTACTCCCTTCTTCTTTTCTCTTGCCCTCTATCCCACCGTCCCGCATACTTCCTCAACCTACCCGCCCGCAGCCTCCAACTACAATGTCCTTCTCCTCCATTGTAGCACTCACTTAGCTTACTTCAACTTTGCCTCCTGCCTATACCACTTGCAGTAGCCGTCATGTTCATGTCCCTGATCGTTTAATTACGCATTTCTTCTTGACTTATACACACACTCCGGCGGTGTTTTACGTCGCCCTCCGTTCTCGAAGGGGAGTACTGTGGCGTGGTGCCAGATTAATTCACATTTGGCAATCTAACCCCGTTTTCATTTGCCGTATTGTTTGTTTCTAACTGACCTGAGACAACACACCCAGAAAACCCCCTCTTCATTGGCGTGCTCCGCCGTCGTGCGCTGCTCTCTGGTCATTTCAAGTTTTGAATATAAATTTTATTCACCAACCAGTTTTCCTTAATGGTCTTTTTACTTAGAACTCTTGAGATATCATTCGTTACTCCGTGCGAACACTATCATTTACGTCAGTCCTACTAGGTCACCTGCGCACTCATAAAAATCGGAGCTAAATCATCGTAGACACGAATATATCCCCATATATTCCCCCACAAACACATTCACCACGCATAATCCCCCCGAATATTCCACATCACGAGCACATCTCTTGTAAATGAGAGGTTTGCCTTTCGACTCCGTTCTCCGTGTGGCTTCTGCTGCATGTTAGTTCGGAGCGTTCTATACCCCTCATGCAAAATCCTAACCCGTGCGTTTAGATGGCCATGTTGTGCATGTGGCACGCACAGGTGAGGTCTCCAGCTCTGTCAGTCACTGCGCCCGTTCCCCACATCAGACAAACGACCGGCTCGGACGTTGATTGGGACCGGGAAATGGGAATTGAGAGTGACATCGACGGTTCCAACGCATTTTCCTCATCATAAATAATCTGACGCGTTTAAAGCTATCACGGTGCGCTAAAAGTCGTGGCTTGGAAGGTTGCAAACTAAGGGGACAACTCGGACCTCGCAGTTTGCCCAGTGTAATTGTGGGGAATGGGGGATTGGCGTAGTGGCTCCTTTTTAATGTGGCCTCTATGGCACTCCCATTCCGTGAGATCCGAGTGGGGTGTGGCAGCACGCCTACGGGGCGGCTCCGGCCGCGCCAGCCACCTGCGCCCTCTCCAACCTCAGGTTTTATTTACTTGGTCATGACAACGGACCGAGGCGGGGGAAGGGGAGAGAGTGCGTTAGATGCTGCGAAATCTACTATCATTATAAAAGAAATCACGCGCCAGTCAACCTGCCTGTTCTCACCCTGCTGTGGAGCATGCGGAGGACTTGGTCGGTCATGACGGTAGAACCGTCGTGTTCATACATAGACACTGTCTGGACATTACTATGTTTATACGGCAGGAGGCGGTTTGTGTTGTAATTGTGCATTTTCGACGCGTTTGTCGCATCCTGAAAGAGCCAAGTCTGGGGACTTCCGTCCTCCTTATCCGACATTGCGTGTTTCCCTTTAAAAGGTTTTCCCTCCTCTCCGCACCTTCTCTCCAGTAGATCTCTCCTAGCCAATTCTTTAGAAGTGGAAGTGAATTGAGAGACGAAGTTAAATTATGCCATTATTTTGTCACGGGATATTGTTACGCTTCTAAGTTTTTCCAAGAATTTTGTTGTGGATAAGGCTGTGTGTTCAGAGCTCTACGTTAGTTTCTTCAAATGATTGTCAAGCTGCTTATAGGCGTGCTTTTCAGCGCCAATGTTGCCTTGCGGATTATTTGCAGACCATAGAATTGTGCCATGGTAACATCTTTTGTTTTCATCTGTCTCAAATTGTTTTTTGATATTGCCTGTCTTCTCCAGGTTCTATTCAGGGTCTTGTTTATTATAATGACCGTTGTTTTCATTGGGCCAGGGTCAATGGCTTTGTATGGCTCGTTAGTGTTTAGTAGATCCTCTGGCTTGTCCAGAATCACAGTTGCCCGCCTTTCGTCTGCTAAGACAATCACAACTCCACCGTAACTCTTTTGATTTCCTTTATGACCTTTAGTTCGGCTGGGGAGATTGTTCGACGTGGACCGCGGGATGTGGCGAGCTGTGCTCCTGGCTGGCAGATCTGGTATTTGGAGCCTTTTGTGTTCACAGTCTTTGAGAATGTTGCTTCCAACACAGTGATAAAATTCACTGGATGCGCGTCCCCTGTGTCGTGGTCGGATTCGCGTCGAAACACTATTATCCAGTCGCTCGTCAGTAGCCTAAGTGATATGTTACTTGCTCCCACTTAAGACATGTCATGCTGCTCAGAAATTTGACCCTCTTCTCTCGCTTGTCGTTCTCCTTAATAGACATCCAGATGTACAGGTTTCTCAGTGTATTCATCTTGAGGTATGGCGCACATGCTACTTTCTATTTCCTTGCCGTACTTTCTGAGGTGAATGCGGCATTCAGTAATGAGGGCTTTCAATAGGCGTCGGCTACTTCTGCTGGCTCACACAGACCCAGTAGCGACAAACGTATGCGGACACGTCTGCTGTTTGCCGCGTCAATTGTCCACACTTTTCGACTAAAAACTTCAGCGTGGCCGGCAAACGACTGCGATCGTGCATGCCTGAGTATGCTCATATGGTTCTGCACACCCTCGAAAATAATCACAAATTGGGTTTCCACAGTGCACAAGTACGCGGCCAAGCCGAAAGTATAATAGTGAGAGAGATAACCGAAACCTGGTAAACCGGTGTCGATTCGGTTACCGTGGATGGATCTACCAGGGCTACACAAGGCCGTCAGATACCGTTTATGCAAGAGAGCAGGACCAATAAGAAGAGAAAATGACTGGCCTACCAAGTGTGCGTTAGCTGTACCTATTTTAACATTCTACATTATCTGTTCTATCTCATGACATTTTAACCGAATTTCTGAAATGCGCATTCGATTAGTTGTTGTTATCCTACTGATTATCGTGAAGCACCATCCTAAAATATTTCGGTCACGTCAGAATGTCTGTTTTTGAAAGCGCATCTTTTTGGCCTCCTGACAAAGAGACACTTGACAAAACTCACTACTTTTTAGTGCGCATTTTTCCCATTGATTTGTAGCGATTTCAAAATCCAAATATACTTTATGTAAAACTTGCATAACAATATGAATGTTGCTTTTTTAATTGCAGATGAATTCTTCTTCAAATTCTATACTTAGGGGAGAGAGCGTCTAGGTTTCGAAAACATTTCAATTCCCGAATAATATTGAACCAGACCTGCAGTTACACTTACCCTTAGGGCTTAAATCTCCATGCTGCACATTTTTCGCGTAAGGAAAACCATATATTCGTTCAGGCAAACAAGAAGATGTCATATATAACTCATTAATTTTTGCGATGGATGTGAACTATGTTGTATACTTCATGAGCGGCTTTTATAAACGGACGGACACGATGATGTATGCATGAACATTTCACGTTCCTAAAAATCTCACATCTAGAAGCTTCTTGTAAAATAAGAGACATGTTATCTTTCAGTATAAAATTTAAAGAAGAGGCAATTTTCTACCAAATAAGTACAGGAGCGAACATTTTTGTGCATGAAGTATGAGGTAACGAAAATCAATGAGAAAAATTCATATTACATAAATTGTAATTTTTTACCGAGTGTGACATCCAAAAGCCGGCATCCCGGCGTGAATGAAATATCTTGGGGCAAAATATTATAACACTACCTAGGCACTTCTTTCCAGTCAAAGGTACATTTCAGAATTTCAGCAAACATTTCATGAGATAGGCCAGGTACGGTATATATGCAGATGGGAAGGCGACCTCCGGGGCCAGTAGATTATTCATCCGAGGTTTTGAACTCTTACTCGAATCCATTTTCCAGAAATAAAAGGATTTTACAAACCACCGCATATCTAGATCACCTCAGCCAAGAATGAAATTCATTTTGGCCACTGATTGAAGCGCGCATTGCTTGATAAGCGGTTGAAAGGTCGATGTGTCTACTATCCCGTTCCTCGGTCGAGTGCCACGTTTCCAGCAACAGGCGCGAAATCCGGTCCCCCTACTGGGCCAAGATTTGCACGCGCTCGAAGTGAAAGCTGTGTCGCGGTGAGGACACGTAGGAGGCTGCGTGGGGGTTTCTCGACATCTCGCAGCAATTTTGTGTTTGTCCACTCCGTGCAGACATGTTTTTCTATTTCCCCAACATAATTGGTCCTACAAGAGTTGCATTCTATCTGGTAAATAATATAAGATTTCTAAATGATGGGAATTGGATCCTTTAGATGTCTTAGTTGCGGCGGGTTGTTGCTCCTGGTCAGGCAGCCACGCCAATCCCAAATTAACTCATCAGTATAGCGAACACTTCAAACACCCCAGCACTGCGCGACAGCATTTCGGCCTTTGCTGCTCCCTCAGTGTTCTTTCCATGTCAGGGTACCCGTTAATTACGAGGAGCTTCTACAGAAACATGACCTTCGTTTGGTCGCATGGATAGATGCAATGGCTTCATACACGGCTTTAGTGTTCTCACGCAACTGCCCTTTCCGAAAGGAGATGGTTGCCTAGATAACTTAGAATCGAGAAGTATTCACCGTCTTCATCTAAACCATTTCCTTCAAGAACCGTCACATTTTGGGGGAGAAACCCTTCGTTGCAGTGGGGTTTGATCTCGACTAATAAAAAGTTTATTTACCCTAAGATATTCAGCTGAGCGATCCAAATGGGCGAAAATAAAGTCCACTTCTATCGCGAAAAGAGTTTGACAAGAATTGGTAGATTTTTGCTCCTAGATGAAAGTCTTTTAACTTCAGCGACCCTAAAGTTGATGCCGCATGAATAAAGAAAGTGGAAAGCGACATCGATTGGCTGTCTACTCTTAGGAACGTTTTTTAAAATAAAGTTAAAGCTTCGTTTGCGCCTGTTTTCGATCTCACTAGCAACCAGGTCAATGAGAGGCATGAGCTTCTCACATTGCTGAGACGTACGTGTTGGCAACTTTCCTTCAAGAAGGGCACCAAGAACAGAAAAAACTGACCTGTAACGAAAAATCAAATTGTTAAAATTATCGAGCGCTCCTAGGTCTATTTTTTCATATGTACAATGGGTTTCAAATGGAGTTTAGTTTCCTTCAGATTTTGACCAAGGTTTGCCTGAGGTTTAATGCCAAAAAAGCAAAACAAGACTTTAGTCCAAATTTATGGGGATGATAGTTACCGAACCTTCGAGGATATAAGGATGAGGCTATGTATGATGAAACAATTTGTGAAAGATATCAATATTGGCGGACCAGAGAGCACAATCGATACTGAGCAATTTTTACTCAATGGCAGAATGCAAACTTGAAAAACAAACGGGTAAATGACAATTTCGTAGGTTCCACCAAGAGCTTCATGATCGCCTTGCACATCCACACAATGTGATCTCCCTTGCATAGGCAGCCCAACCGAGGCATAGTCCCTTCGTGTTCGGGGATTTGACGGGTCCTGGCAGGGCTGGCGCAAGCTGGTAATGGATCACGAGGTTTACAAATAAATGACAGAGTTAGAATAGAGTAATATAGGGTTATTATAGAACTCTATCGGCACAGTCAGTCTCCTTTTACACAGGGGAAAAATTAAACCAAACTAATACATTTCGACTGAACTTCGAATTAATTGGTTTTGGATGTCTGCTTAGTCAGTTGAGTGCGAATTCAGAGTGGGTTTTAACCTAAAAAAACCTGATTTCCAGGGCAAAATAATAGCAAAGTTAGAAAAAGGGCTATGTACACAATAAAGAGAATGAGGTTTGGAGTTTTGTAGTATTTCTGGTCGTGAATAACTCGCCTTTTATGGTACTGAACGAACTGGAACAATCTCGACTGGGTTACCACTTCACAGAAACCGTCTCTGACAGTGATACTAGAACCGTACGTACAGAGTTGTTTTCTGCATTTTTGGAATATTTTTTCACTCGTCGAAATTCGCCAGGAAACGGAATTAATTGCAATTTGTTTATCAGCACGGTTCAACCGACTACGCAGCCAACTCGCGTTTATTTACAGCCTAGAAAAACAACCGCTAAAAATCCCTCAAGGTCTGCAGTTATTCGAGCCCCACGAGATCTCCGACGGGCTAAGTCATTTCGGACTATATTCCATAAAATTAATCAGATTTCAAGTATTTTTTTCGCCTACTGAGTTTTGAATACTCACTTCAATTCGTCATATACAGTCAGACGTATTCGTTATAACATCAAAAACGAAATTTTATTCACATGCTATCAATGAGTTACATAACTGTTATGTAAATATCCGCATGTATTTTTTCAAAAGTCTATCTGTAAATAGGGTTTTCCAAGACTCTACCTCTATCCTTCATATATACTGAATTATATCATGTCAAAGTTTATGGAGTCTCAGCAATCTAATAGTAATATTACGATCAGCGACGGTTCCTCGTTGGAAGATAAGTCCGGTGATATGTCCTTCGCATCCAGAATCTTCGCTCGCTCTACCTTCGCTTTTGGCCAACGACCAGCAAATCGTGTCCAAAGCGTACTTACCGCGAAAAGTGTTAGGAACAAAGACGAGCCTTGTGGTGGGTGCGCATATATCCTAATCTAAGTAGAACACTTCGAAAAACAGCTTGCTGATCTAAGGACACTCATGAAACAGAACCTCGATGACCAGAACGTCTCCAGTGTTAGAGTTCAAAAAAACGAAGTGTAAAACGCATAACACTCGAAAAATATCTCCTCGGGGCATCTTCAAAAACGGGTTGCAACTAAGTAGATACAACCGCAGATGCCGCTAACAGCAGACCAACGGAAACGAAGCAGCCGATGAGAGCATACTCGATACCCACGCAAGATGACTTAAGCGATGTCACAAAAATATTTCCTGGCGCAGAAGCCATCTCGTCTACTGTTCTTGCTAAAAGTGAGCGGTTTTTTCCTTTGCCAAGAGACGATATAACTTGGACATCCAGTCTACTGTTGCCCTCTTGTTCTCGCAACCACCCCGAGCGTCCTACAGAGCACTATTTGAGTGCGAAGACATGGACCCGTGTGTAGGGGGGAGTGGAAAACGCGATAACAGGAGTTTGAAGTCACAATTAGCACTGATGGGTTGCTCGGAACAGTTGACCGATAGCAAAAGTGCGTGTCTAAGCGACGACTCCGTAAATCTTCCTCGCCCACATGCAGAGAATTCACTAGAAAGACAAAGTAAGGAGGACCGTGACCGCCAGCGGGTGCCTAATTATTTGGGGATGTCGGAGACGAATGCAGTCAGACCTGAAGTCCGTGTCACGGAGGTCTACTAAACCACTTACTCCAGGCAGACTTGGAAATAAAGCTTCTGAAAGCATTCCGGATAGGAAAATGGAGTGAAGACAGGACGGCAGCACTACAACCTCGTCCTATCAAAAGTATGCTGGAGAACAAATAGCAAATCAAGTTGATCTTCTCCAAAAAAACGACCCCAGAAACACACACAAACAGGTTTTTTTTTCAACCGAGCTACTCACCAGTTGAGCGGCTGAAACGACGGGAACTCGTCGAGACTGAAATGAATCGAACACATTCTGGCTATATTCAAGGGGAAAGTAGTTCGGAAAATTATGCGTTTCAGTAGAACCAGCCAATATTACTAAGAACGACGGTAGCTACTCAGCTAACACAGACACCTTCGTAGGATCACCTGCTCAAGGCGACAACATAAGTAAGCCCTTAACGTCCAGTGTTCTGATTGATGCAAAGGACATTAATGGGACCATCGTATAACGGAAGAGCCCAGATAACGGAGTAATGTTCAAAACGGGGACAAATGAAACCGGAAATTCGGCTGGTGCAAAACTGAGGTGCTTGTACACAAATGCCCAAAGCCTCATATCGAAGCTAGACGAGCCAAAACTTTGCCTTGCCGAGCTGTCTCCAGATGTTTTAGCAGTAACCGAGACCTGGCTGTCCGGAAATACAAGCGATAGCGAAGTAGCCTGGCCTGGATACCAAATTTATCGGAGGGACAGGGAACATCGTCAGGGTGGTGGTATTGTTGTGTATGTGAATGAGTGTCTGGCAGTGTCGGAAAACTGCGCCAAGTTTGCGTCCGGCACGGAAGCTATTTGGTTGACCATCAAGGCTACTGGTTTCCCGTGTTTCGATGTCCTCACTATCTACCGACCACCTAGGACAGACCAAATCGCCGACACTCAACTACTGGAGCAGTCGGAGGAAGTTTTCAGTCAACCTAACATCATGATCATGGGCGAATTCAACGCACCAGGAACAAACTGGAACACCCTCCAAGCGTCAGATACAAAATCGACATTAGATTACCGTCCGCTGAACAGAACATTGAAGGCGTCCCTCACACAACATGTAATGTTACCAACGATAACACGTGAAGGACAAAGGGAAAACTGCCTGGGTCTGGTTTTTACGAAAACACCAGCCAGCATAGACGAGATCACCTCCGTTCCGCCCCTTGGCCGAAGTGATCATGTAGTGCCTATGTGGGATTATTCGTTATTCTCCATTTCGCATACGTCAGACCAAAACAGACGCAATGTTTGGCGGTGCGGCTTCAATGGAATGAGAGCAGACTTATCCGGTCTAGACTGGAGCTCATTGTTTACGGGTAATGCCAACGATGACTGGGAGCTGTACAAGAATACCATTTTATAGCTCATCAACAACCACTGCCCACTGACTAGTGTAAGACTGGCAAACGACCTGAGTGGTTAAATAGCAACCTAAAGAAAGAAATCAACAGGAAGGACAAATTGTGGAGAAAATACTGCATCACTAGGCAAGATGAACATTTCAACAACTTCAAGATACAGAGGAGCAAACTGAGAAACCTGATCATGAAGACGCGACGAAAATTCAAGAACAAAAGTGCTACAAAAGCAACACAGAACCCAAAATTACTCCACAGCTACCTACGACGAAATACAAGGAACAAGCATCAAATCCCCTTCATAGTGACTACTGACGGCGTTGAGATTGCTGATAGTAGGGATAAACCTGCGTATATTCACAGTTTTTCAATCAGTCTATACAAACGTGGAAAGGCTCCTTCTTTGCTTTAAAGAAGAACTGCCGACCCCAAGCATCAGAAAGCATTGTCCGAAGAGAGTTAGAGGTATTGAGAGAATCGAAGTCGCCAGGACCAGACGAGATTCCACCCAAGCTTCTCAAGGAACTGATAAGCCATCTTCCTAACTCTCACTCAGTAGGTACGGACAATATCCCAAACTCTTTGATAAAACAACTAAGAGATTTTCCTCCTCTGCTTAGCAAAATCTTTTCAGTATTTCTCGTAAATGGCTTCTTCCCTGACTATTGGAAAACTTCTATTATTATTCCAGTATTTAAGTCTGGCTGTCGTTCTGACGTACAGAACTATCGAGGTGTCCATAAAACACCCTCTCTCGCCAAAATCTTTGAAAAAATTATCGACATAAAAATTACCGAATTTTGCATAGCCAGTCAAGTTATTAGCCCTTCCCAACATGGTTTTTTACCAGATCGCTCTTGTGAAACATGTCATCTGTCGTTTCTCGATCTACTTACCTCTCTTCGTAATGATCACCTATCTGTTGTCGTAATTTATTTTGATCTTAGTAAAGCCTTTGATAAAGTGCCACATAAAAGACTCTTGGTTAAATTGGAAGCTATGGGAATTCGCAGTCCACTAATAGACTTTCTCAGGTCATACCTGTCTAATCGTAAACAAAAGGTTTTGGTGGGATCTTCACTTTCCAGTGAAAGTCCTATTGTGAGCGGTGTCCTACAAGGTACCGTTTTAGGTCCTCTTTTGTTCTTACTTTACATAAATGATATTTCAGCCGCAGTTAAACATTCTCAATCAGTTATTTATGCCGATGATCTCAAATGTGTATATTCTTTTAAAAAATCTACGAGCCTCCATTGCCTGGAGCAAATCCATGCTGACTTGCTTGCTCTCTCAGCTTGGAGCTCAAAATGGCTAATGGAATTCTCTCCGTCTAAATGTCGTTATATGTGTTTTCGACCTGATAGGCTACCCCAACCTGTGGTCTTTCAAGGAACATCTATGACTGAATGTACCACCATCAAGGATTTAGGCTTAAGCTACACTAGTAATCTTGATCTCTCGCCGCACGCTGACAGAATTACAGCCAAAGCTGCCCAGATTTGTGGCTTTATTTCTTACAATTTCTATCTTCCTGAAATTAAATTAAGGCTCTATCGTATGTTTGTACTTCCCATTCTCGAGTATTGTTGTCCATTCTTTGGTTTGATGAATGAAGCCAGTCGTTTAAAAATTGAAAATGTCCAAAGACGTTTTTCAAAAAAACTTTTAGATAGGGAACATCCCAATATCTCCTACTCAGATAGGTGCCAACTAACTAACCTAAAATTTTTATGGGTTCGAAGACTAGAAGCGGGCTTCTGTCTCCTCTTTCGCATTAATCATAGTTCAAATTTTCCTCGGATTTCAGCACTTACCCCTAGTAGTCGCCCATTAAATCTTCGCAATTCGTCTCTAATTATACCTCTTCCAGCGTCCTCCACCTCTAAGCGCTCCCTTTTTTCGCTTTCAGGTATGCTTTCCTCTGGAATAACCTTCCAATAAATATAAGATCTTCAGAAAATCTACACACCTTTAAGAGAAGGCTACGCCTTTATCTGAATACTGACTCGATTAAACTTTTATTTTCCTCATCCTTCCCAGACAACTTTTTCTATGACACTGAGAAAGGGCCACCGGGAATTTAGCATGCCGCTATTAAATTTCCGAAACTGTTCACGTTTCCTTTCTTTATGAGTAGTCTCGCTACCTAAGATCCCTCACCAGAAATGTTAATTATTCCAATTTTTTAGTTCATGCATCGTGCCCTCACAGAATGCACGCCATCGACGCTCTTGGCGAAACCTTCTGTATTCGCCATATACTAGTAGTTTGGTCGCATCTCCCTTCCCCCATCCTCGGTTGGACTCGGATGAATGTAACCGACCGCATCTGGGTTCCTATCGCCTCGAGACTGATCTTCATGATGCCCTCACTGAATGCGCTTCATCGATGCTCTTGGCGAAGCCTTCTATATTAGCCATATACTAGTAATCTGGTCGCATCTCATTTGCCCTATCCTCGGATGGACTCTGATGAATGTAACAGACCGCATCTGGGTCCTTTTCGCCTCAAGACTGGTTGTCATCGTGCCCTTGCAGAATGCGCTCCATCGGCGATCTTGACAAAGCCTTCTATATTCGCCATATACTAGTAGTCTGGTCGCATCTCCCTTCCCCCCATGTTCGGATGGACTCGGTTGAATGAAACCGACCGCATCTGGGTTCTTGTCGCCTCGAGACTGGTTGTCATCATGCCCTTACAGAATGCGCTCCATCGGCGGTCTTGTCAAAGTCTTCTATATTCGCCATATACTAGTAGTCTGGTCGCATCTCCCCCCATGTTCGGATGGACTGGGTTGAATGAAACTGACCGCATCTGGGTTCCTATCGGCTTGAGACTGGTTTTCAATTTCGGCACTTATTTTTCTTATTCAAGGCGATACAGGCCAGTCCTGATCGACCCGCCTACGTACCATTTTATGAAATCCGTTACACAATGCCATATACAGCTGACATCTATTTCGGCCATGTTGATGTCGGGCTTTATTCCAATTTGTACCGCCACATGCAGGCCAGTCCTCCCTTTTTTTCTGATGCTATTTTTCTGAGGGGTTTTTTTTTCTCCTGTTAAATTACTATAATCATTTTTAAATTTTGCTTTGGAGTTTTTTTTTCACCTTTCGTTTTTTTCATTTTCATTTTGCTTAACGGACTTCTAATCTCAAAAACTATGCATTGCACTTTGTGCAGATTTTGCCTACATCGTCTAAAATTTGCATGTAAATTTATTTTTACTTGCTTTGATGGGACCCCGACGGGTCTTTAATAAAAATAATTGAATTGAATTGAACTTGCCAGTGGGCTTTCTGTGCCTTTGCCGATGCTCTTTCAAATGTCATTTGACACTGGAGCACTTCCTATCGATTGGAAGCTGGTGCAAATTACTCCGCTATACATAGCATGTAGCAGGACATCGACGACAAAATACAGACCCATAGGCTCGACGTATATTCCCTGCAAAGTTATGGAAAGGATCATAAAGAGTGAACTGATGCAATTTCTGGAAGTTCATGGCCCGCTATAGAAACTCCAGCATGGGTTCCGGAAAGGAGGCTCCTGCACGACAAACTTGCTGCAATCTCTCCAGAGCTGGACCAGAGCTCGCGAAGACAGGCACGCGGTCCATATAGCCTTCATCGACTTCCAGAAGACGTTCGGGACCGTGTTACACCAGAGGCTGTTACATAGACTTCAAAAAATAGGGGTCGGTGGCAACTTCCTCAACTGGGTCAAAAACTTCAGGTGGCGGCTGATTCGACGGGACCCGGCCATATTTTCAAATCTCAGGTGGCCGAAATCCTCGCTAGGGGTGACAGTCACGTGAGCCGCCAGCTGCTCGAGTCATGGTTCTCCGGCCCGCAATCCATCAATAAGCGCAATAACCTCCCGGTACCATCTTCCGTGTTGAGCTTTTCCCTGGGCAGAAAAATCAGTCACGTGGGAGGGCGCAGGCGAGCAATTATCCCAGTGACAGTGAGCCAATTTGCCGAGCAATCGTCACACCAGCATCCAGCATGGATGAGGAAATCACGGCAATTGACGACTCGGACTCGGACTGACAAGCCACCATCGCATCAATCACGACCCCAGCGGGGATTGCGAGAGCTGTTAATTACAGTACGCCTATGGTCCCACGGCAGTCACGTGCTATAAATACTGCACTACTTGTGCCACCATCACCCTTATCTGCGACTGTCTCTGATGATGGATTCGAGTGAGAATCCGAAGCGTCAGTCCAATAAATTTTGTGTTCCAGTCATCGCATCTTCGTCTTCATAACAAGGTTTACTCTATGAGGGGGAAAGAGTGTAGAACGAGGAGCAAAAGGGAGAATTAAATAACCCAATGAAACGGTAACTTCACCGTTATCTGGGGAAGGTGGAGTTGGAAGCTGCCACCGGGGAGGCAGGGTTGTTTTCTTCGCGCACCTCAAATGGAAACAGATGAAAGAAAAACCGACATTGTTCGGACACCAGACACCTCTGTCCTCAAAATTAACGCTCCTGCCTATTAAAACAATCTCGTTTATGCCTGTTCGCCATAAATTATATTCAAACACAATTTAAATGTCAATATCAGAGTCTTTTCACGCCACGGAACCCGACAGGTACATCCGGACCGCGTGTTCTGTGGTCAGCCAATAACTTCACGACCTAGCCCACCTCTCTCAGTATCAATCAGTTTTTCCCATATGCAGGCCAGACTTGCCCACATTTTTTTCTTATCAATATCGACAGTTTCTTCTCCTGTAAAACCAGTCCAGTCATTTTTTAGCTCTTGAGTGTATTTTGTTTTCACTGTTCATTCACTGTTTTATCTTAACGTACTATTAATTCAGAAACCATGAATTGCACTTTGTACAGATTCTGCCTTACTCGTCTAAATGCATAGGGGTGTAGGGGTGTCAGCGGTGGGTTCACGTGATGGTTGTAGTGCTCGCTCACTTGCTCGCAGGTGAGACTACGCCTAGCGTTCACTTGCTGGCACTCAACTCTCACCTGTGGCTCCACATAGCTGGGCTCTGCTCAGCGGCCACATCCCGGGCAACCGTCTCGACCGGCGGGCTAAACCAGGTGAGGGGCACTGTGCGCTGTGCCGTGTGCACAGGCTTTGCGGATTCCGCTGAATGGGACCTTGCGTCGGCACCGTCGTGACGTGGTTCTTCTCTGCACGCCGCTTGACAGCCGATGACGGGATGGATCTCCACATATACATCGCCTTGACGCGCCCACCTACGCCGTCGGAGACCGCGGCTTGCTGCGAATTCGAATCGCTCTCCACTACAACCCGAAAACGTGGCCCCATAGTGGAGTTCGGCCGTGCCACAACGGCACATGGCAGCCCTATTCAGGGATGGCACAGCTAGCCTCACGAGGGGAAGGGCCTAGAAGTGGTGACCTAAACATTGCTGGACACCACGCCGTCTCCAGGCTAGCCAGGGCCGCAGACGTCTTATCATAATCGAAACAATCAAAATCGAAACAACAACAACAATACCTATAACAACAACGACAATACTCGCTCACCTCCTCAACCTACCTCTTCTTTCTCTTCCTCTGCCTATTCTTCTCCTTCGTCACCTTCTTCTCCACCTCCTTCCCGTCGCCCCACTCGTTGTCACCAGACTGGCAGGGTGAGTCAGCTCACTCTGGCAGCCTGGAATGTTCGTTCCCTTTTAGACAATCCGAGGAGCAACCGACCAGAACGAAGGACAGCGCTAGTGGCACGGGAACTGGCGAGCTACAAGGTGGACATCGCCGCACTCAGCGAGACCCGATTCTCCGAACAAGGCCAACTGGAGGAGGTGGGTGCCGGCTACACCTTCTTCTGGAACGGTCGACCCAGGGCAGAGCGACGGGACGCGGGTGTCGCCTTCGCCATTCGGAACGACATCGTGGGATTACTGCCCTGTTTGCCGCAGGGCATCAACGATCGCCTGATAAGCCTCCACCTGCCTCTCTGGGGAGGCAAATTCGCCACCATCATCAGCGCCTACGCTCCGACGATGACCAACCCCGACGCCGTCAGAGACAAATTCTACGAGGACCTGCACGCTCTCTTGGCGACTGTGTCGAAGGCGGACAAGTTGATTGTCCTTGGTGACTTCAGCGACCGCGTCGGCACAGACCATACTGCCTGGAGGGGAGTGCTGGGTCCCCACGGTCTCCGCGGCTCAAACGACAATGGTCTGCTGCTTCTCCGCACCTGCGCAGAACACCGCCTCATACTGACGAACACCTTCTGTCTGCCGGAGCGAGAGAAGGCCACCTGGAGGCATCCGCAGTCGCGCCAGTGGCACCTGCTGGACTATGTCCTCGTCCGGAGGCGAGATCAGTTGGACGTGCTGGTAACAAAGGCGATTGCAGGCGCTGACGGGTGGACCGACCATCGCCTCGTCATCTCGAAGATGCGTACTCGCCTACAGCCCCGCAGGAGACCACAAGGTAAGCGACCCCCAGGTAAGCTGAATGTTGCTTTGTTGTCTTTGCCTGCTCACCATCTTCATTTCAGCAGTGAGTTAGCTCAAAGGCTAGACAACCTTCCTATCGCCGCCGATGCTACCGCTGCCGAGAACGCATCCGTGGAGAACCGCTGGTGCCAACTGAGAGACACGGTCCAGTCGACGGCGCTCGCCGTCCTCGGTCGCCCTCCCCGCAAACACCAGGACTGGTTCGACGACAACGACGCCGCCATCAGAAATCTGCTAGCTGAGAAGAACCGCCTACACAAAGCCTACGTAGATCACCCCACTGAGGGCACCAAAGATGCCTTCTACCGCAGTCGCCGCCAACTTCAGCAACGACTGCGCGAGATGCGGGACGCTTGGACTGCTCGCAAAGCTGAGGAGATCCAAGGGTACGCGGACCACAACGAATGGAAGATCTTCTCTGCGAGCAAAGCTGTCTACGGTCCGCCGACGAACGGCACTGCTCCTCTCCTCAGCGCCAACGGCAACACTCTCCTGATTGAGAAGACGCAAATCCTACAGCGATGGGCCGAGCATTTCCGAGGCGTCCTCAACCGCCCCTCCGTCATCTCCGACGCCGCCATCGAGCGTTTGCCGCAAGTGGAGACCAACGTGGACCTCGACCTCCCGCCATCTCTCCAGGAGACCATCAGGGCCGTGCAGCAGCTCTCCAGCGGGAAAGCACCCGGATCGGACGCTATCCCTGCTGAGGTCTACAAGCACGGAGGTCCCCAACTGATGGATCACCTGACTGTGCTCTTCCAGGAGATGTGGCGTCAAGGCAAAGTCCCATAAATTTTCAAAGATTCAACCATCGTGCATCTCTACAAGCGCAAAGGGAATCGCCAAGTCTGCGACAATCACCGTGGCATCTCCCTGCTGAACATCGCCGGAAAGATCTTTGCACTAATCCTTCTCAACCGCCTCAATAACCATCTGGAACAGGGCCCTCTGCCGGAAAGCCAATGCGGTTTCTTTCGTCATCGCGGGACCACGGATATGATCTTCGCCGCCCGCCAACTTCAGGAGAAGTGCCGGGAGATGCGGACCCATCTGTACTCTACCTTCGTGGACCTGACGAAAGCCTTCGACACGGTGAATCGTGAAGGACTGTGGAAGATCATGAAGAAATTCGGCTGTCCAAGGCGATTCATTCAAATGCTGCGTCAGCTGCACGACGGTATGATGGCGCGAGTCACAGACAACGGAGATGTATCAGAGGCATCCGCATTGACCAATGGAATGAAGCAGGGCTGCGTACTGGCGCCTACCCTCTTCAGTCTTATGTTCTCTGCCATTTTGATGGACGCCTACTGCGATGAAAGCCCCGGGATCCGCATCGTCTACAGGATGGACGACCACCTCCTGAATCAACGGCGGATGCACTTCCAATCGCGCGTATCCACAACCATCGTTCACGAACTCCTCTTCGCCGACGACTGCGCCCTGACAACCACCTCGGAAGAGGAGATGCAACGCAGCATAGACCTGTTCTCCGCCGCCTGCGAGAACTTCGGTCTGGTCATTAACACGCAGAAGACGGTGGTGATGCACCAAACGTCACCCAACTCAGCCACAGCCCCCAACGCGCCGCCGCAAATCAGCATGAACGGAACCCAACTGCAAGTGGTGGAGAACTTCCCGTACCTGGGCAGTACTCTCTCCCGCAACGCCAAGATCGACGACGAACTCGCCAACAGGAGTTCGAAAGCCAGTCAAGCCTTCGGTCGCCTCCAAAGCACAGTTTGGAATCGCCACGGTCTTCAGCTGAGCACGAAGCTGAAGATGTACAAGGCCGTCATCCTGCCGACACTACTGTATGGAGCAGAGACTTGGACGGTGTAAGCAAAGCAGGCACGCCGTCTGAACCATTTCCACCTCAGTTGTCTTCGCCGCATCCTGAGTCTGAACTGGCAGGAACGAATCCCCTACACTGACGTGCTGGAACAGACGGGAATCCTCAGCATCTACTCCATGTTGAGACAAATGCAGCTGCGCTGGAGCGACCACCTGGTGCGCATGGACAACGAGCGACTACCCAAACGACTCTTCTACGGAGACGTCGCGACGGGTTCTCGCCGTCAAGGAGGCCAGATTCGCCGTTACAAGGATACCCTGAAGTCCTCCCTGAAAGCCTGCAAATCAACCCCACCAACTGGGAGGAGCTCGCACTCGATCGACGGACCTGGAGGAGGACAGTGAAGACAGGCGCTGCGATCTATGAAGCCAACCGCATCTCTGCCGCCAAAGCGAAACGTGAAGCCCGCAAATCACAACTTCGCCCAGTACGCAACGCCGCCGTACAACCGCTTCCAACGTGTCCTCGATGTCAACGGACATTCCGGGCTCGAATCGGACTTGTTGGACATCCTCGGATTAACTGCGCCTCTCGAACGGCACCAACCATCGTCCCCCCGCCCGCCTCTTCCTCCTCCTCCTCCTCTCCGCCTCCAACTAACTCTACCAATTCTTCTGACCCACCACTTCCATCCTCCTCCTCCTCCTCCTCCTCCTCCTCCTCCTCCTCCTCGCCCACTGCTCCAACGACGGCCGCTTAGGCGACTGTCCAGCGCGCAAAACCGACACTACCGCCACCTCCCCCGACTCCGGCGATGAGGATCAGGACTACACCTGCTCTCTCTGCGACCGCACCTTCACCTCACACATCGCCCTCGTCGGTCACTTGCGAATCCATCGCACGGAGACTTGCGAACCAGTGCCTGAAGCACCAACCTACACCCACCACACTCGCCTCCACTGCCAACACTGCCCTCGCACCTTCGGGCATCGCATGGGCCTTTTCGGCCACATGCGCATCCACGAGAGCGACCTTGACCGCACTCCCGACACACCCACTAAATCCAACACATCCACCGTGCACACCCCCACCCTCGCTCAATCTGTCTGCGCCACCACCACCACCACCACCCCCTCTGCACCTGACACTGACACCGCCGACTTCTCATGCCCACACTGTCCAAGCACATTCACCTCACGCATCGACCTGGTCGGTCACTTGCGTATCCATCGCACAGAGACTGGCGAACCGGTGCCTGGAGCACCCACCTATACTCACCAAGCTCGTCTCAACTGACCACACTGCTCTCGCACTTTCAGGCATCGCATGGGCCTGTTCGGCCACATGCGCATCCACGACGACCTGCAGTAGACAACCGCCGGTCACACCACACATTCACTCACTCCCTACCTCCTCCACCACCACCACCACCATCAACCCACCAGAAATCAACACTCACACACCTCATGCATCCAACTGCCACCTCCCACGCAAGTGGGAAGTCCGCATCTCGACTCGGTCCCCATGCGCCTTCGGCTGCACGGGTGACTTGAGTCCGAGACTATCCCGACACGTCAAGCTTCGTGGATAGGAAGGTTGCTGATTGACGCCCGCTCTCGGTTCACGCAGTTCGTCGCGTTGTGTGTGTGTTGTGTGGAATGGCGGATTGGTGGGCTGTGGATGGGCTGAAACAGCACCTTCCACGGCCCTCTCACGCAAGTAAGAGACACGCCGTTCAACCCCCGTTGTGTGAAATCCTGGTGTTTGTGTGTGTATGGGGGGCCAGGTCGTGCTGTGGCGCACGCAGGCATGGTCAGTCGACCATGTCAGCCACCGCGCCCATTCCCCACTCCAGTTTGCCGACTGGCTCGGACGGCGGTTGGAGCGTGGGAATGGGAAGGGAGAGTGAGGTCGACGACTCAGCGCACTTTCTCCTCACTATAAACAATCTGACGCGCTTGAAGCTATCACGGTGCGCTAAAAGCCGTGGCTTGGAAGGTTGCCAACTGACGGGGTACCTTGGACCTCCTCCTTCACTGGAGGCGGTCTGAGAGTCAGGCTGCAATGGCTCCTTTTTAATGTGGCCTTTATGGCATTCCCACCACAGTGTGGGATCCGAGCCAGGCGTTGGCGGCACGCCCAGGTGCGGCTTCGGCCGTGCCAGCCTCCAAATCTCTGTTGTGTTGGTTGATATCCTGGTTATTTGTTGTGTGGACCAGGGGGTGTGGTGGGACGCCAAGGTGAGGATCCGTCCGAGCCATCCACCTGCGGCCTCCCTCGTCTCCGGTCTTCTTGACTCTGTCTTGACACCGGGTCCAGGCGGGGGAGGAGGAAAGAGTGTAGGTAGATGCTACGCAAGTCTACCGGCACAATAAACCCCTGCGTAAGTCACCGTCCCTGCTCCCATTGCTGCTGCAACTGTGGAGCACACGGTGGACATCATCACTTTCAGGAGCGTGATTAAATATCTTACATAAAAGGGATGGGAAAATTTCATTTACATATGCTTTTAGAATGCCAACTAGAATACCATCGGTTCCAGGGCTGAGATTGATGAGAACGCCGAATTGCTACATTCACGTCCCACAGGATGAAAGTTATAGTTTCCAGAACCGCCCCCGTGAATGCCTGGATAGTCGGAAGTGGAGCGATCGAGTTTTGATTAACTTTTTGGCCAAAAAAGCATTGAAACCATCGGTGGTCAACCGAGAATCAGCTATAGGACTACCGAGAGCGTCTCGGAGGATGGGATGCTGCGTCTTTCTGTAAGTTCATACTTTTCGGGAGAAAAGTATCGAGACATTAAACGAACGGTTTTCAGTGAATTGGACCTGTTCGGCTGGCTATTTTTCTTCAGACAATCTCTTAGTCCACTCAAAAATATCACAAATCAAGGGCAGAACGGAAACTTCATTCTGAAGATGGAATGGACGATAGCGTCTGCGCAACCTGCGACGAAAGGTTAAGGGTGGGAAAACCCAACCCCCGATTTTAATCATTTTCTTACGCGGGAGAAAACTAAAAGTAAGCGGATCTAAA